TGCTGCTCGGATGGAACACAGACCACAATGTGTATTGAGACACTTGTATTTCAGCAGAAGCCCGCCAGTCACACAGGAGTTTGCCGAAGGTTAAGCACATATTGCAGATTATTGCGGCGCATCAAGGCAGACAGAGTGCACTGTTCATTACTTTCGATAAAAGAACGGGGAGAGTAGATACGAGCCCGTGCCTGTTGCCTCCAGCCCTAGCTACATTGACAGGCATGTTGCAAGAGCTACAAGGTCTTATCAAAGAGTTATATCATTGCAGTCACGTGCTCAGATATGTTTTGTACTACTTCATTTGCAACTCCAGGGGAGCCCATTCAGTTTGCAGCCTAGCAAAGAGTTCCACGTCAAACATTGTAAGCAGCGCATAAAGAGCTTGGCATACCCTACGATGCAAGGCACACTCCACCCTGTTCTGTTAGCAATGCATTGCCGTCGGCTCTATAGCTATGTCGCCAGGTGCATTGAAACTTCAATGTCGCAAGAAGTCCAAGTCGTAATCTCATCAAATATTTTCTGAGTGTTACTGTCTTCCTGCTGTTGGCTGGGGCCACTTGATTTCCAGACCAAGATGGGTTTTGAGATACCAACCCTTCCAGCAGAAGCCAGCCAGCCAAAACGGAGTTTGGCATAGATTTCCACATATTTTTGCTACAATAAATTGCACCACATCACGGCAGCAAGAGGCTTACGTTGCTAAAGGAAACCCAACGGTAGCAGTTCGCCAATGCCATCGGCTCCAGCTATGTCGCAAGCTGTGTCACAACGCCAGTAGAAAGAACCTGTGATCCAGGTCGTATCAAGTTCTTCTTCACGCGCAATCGTGTTCTCGCAGTCGGGGGCCAGATGCTGCTCAGACCAAGATGTTTGAGACATTTGCAGTTCCAGCAGAATCCAGTCAGTTTGCAGCCTGGCAACAAGTTCCGCGTCAAACATTGTAAGCAGCGCATGAAGAGCTTGCCATTGTGTACAATGCAAGGCACGCTCCACCCCGTTTCGTTAGCAATGGCGCACTGCCACCGGCTCTCTAGCTATGTTGCCCGGTGCATTGGAACTTCAATGTCGCAACATGCTTTTCTGAGTACTGCCATTTTCCTGCCATCGGATGCGGCCACATGCTGCACAGACCAAGATGTGTTCATTGGGAGATTTGCGTTTCAGCAGAAGTCAATCACTTTGCCTGGCAAATCTTTGTAATTTAGATCATATAATTTAGGAATTGCAAAAAAGCTACTAGGGGCTCCTGGCCCTACTACTAGGAGCAAGGACGCTAGGAACGGGGCTCCTGGCCATACTAGTAATTAAGAAGCTATTAGAAACAAGAAGCTATGAGTTTCTCACCACCCTTCCAGATCTTTCCAAGACCATTCTTTGCTGCGCCGACAGCCTTCCACTCGGAAGCCCTGCGCTCGCTCCATTTTCGCTCGCCAGGGTGTCGACCATCGGTCGACCGCCATGTGCGTTCGCGTTTGTTAGACCGACGTGCAGGTCTGCAACATCTTTCTTCAAAGACCTGCAGTTTCTGCCCAAGCTAGTGATGTCGAAGATGTGACAGCGCCCACCATTCGGAGTCGGCGCTGACTTGGCACCAAGGCAAGCTTCTACTCGGCAAGCTTCTACTAGTACCGTTTTCACCCAGGAATAGCTGCTATCTCACGTTTGGTCTCCAAGCCAGAGGATCAGTACGAAATACAGTACATTCGATCAGATTGTGTCAATAGCATACAATTGCCATTATTGCCATGTTCGAAGGTTTTGCATCCTCCGTCCACAAAGGGCATTTTTCAGGGAGTTGGTCTATGTCCAGAAGCCACGATAGGAGTTTGGCGATTTCTGACATCCGCATCACGCATCCATGAGCATCCTTGGCTGCGCTTGCGAGCTTCATTGGGCAAAGGTTTCATTCTGTTTGGTTTGAATTCCTACTAGCTGATGCGCCAGCTGCTGTGGTTGAATCGGGTTGCAAGACCTAACTAGACCAACAAGGTCATACTTGGAACTTCCAACATCCAACATTTCTTAGCAATTTTGGATGTTTAGGTGTTTCTGTTGCGATTTGCTGGACATAGCGGCTTGTTCTCAGAACAATCCTGAAGACACGCCACTTCGCAAGTCCTGACGGGGTCGAAGCCAGGTGCCGCAAAGGCGGGTGGAGCCCACTGGGAAAGCCGTGCTCCATCGGTCGATCCACCTGAGGTCAATCGCAACGCTGCCAGTCGCCCAACTCTCGAAGCGAAAAGGTCCGTAAGCTCTTCAAGAGCCGAATTCAACGGCTTTTTCGCTGCTTGAGTCCAGCTCCAAAACCGGACGATGTTTGCTAAAGCGAGCATTGGTCGAATCTGGTTTTACACTAAGACTCTCGCATGTTGGGATGTGGTGTTGACGCAACTGCCAATACTTCTCCCAATGCTGCCGCTGGTTTGCAGCATGAAATAAAGCCGTGCTTATCCAGACCAGTCAATCTGATAGTAGTGAGCCTGTGGCGAAGATTTGGACCTCGAAACATTTTTGCAGCTTGAATTACTGAAAGTGCTTTCTTTGCAACAGGAGACGGTACAACACAAGGTAAGCTCCTTCTAGTTGCAGTGCAGACATACAATATTTTATCAATGTTGTCCGAGTGTGGCCGTTTCCTTTCAGTCAGGAAAAGCAACATGCTGACCAGACTTACGTTTTGAAAATTTGCATTGAAGCTAGTTCATGAATGTCAAACTTAGACACTCGTTGTTTAACAATGCATCAAGACCTTACTATTTGCAACCGGTGACACCACACAAGGCAAGGTCCTGCCCCCTCCGCTTGGCACAAGGTCTTATCAAGACGGGTCTTGCATTTAGATCACGGCGAGCCTTCTCAACAAAATCACCTCAAATTTTCCTTTGTTTCTCTCTGTGGAACTAGTGGTCGGTTGGACCGTGAGCCGATTGTGCCAACGCCTTTTGACCTTTGCCCCATGTTGCCATTTTTTTGCGTTCCCGTACGTGATTCGCGCTGAACACCAGGAGTTAATTGGTTCAATCCATGGTGGATTCCATTCTCTTGCAAGCTTGCACAAGCTCGTGCAAGCTATGAACGGCATAACCTTCAAAGCTTACGCAAGCTTTTCCCGCAAAGAATCATCGTGTCCATTTAGATTGACTGCTTTTGATCCCCGCTGAATTTGGATTTGGGATTGCAAATGCGGATAAGGTCCAGTTTACAGGCTTACAGGCACTAAGGACGCTACTAGGGGCTCCTGGCCATACTACTAGGGGCAATGTTCGCTACTAGGAGCAAAGGGCATTGCTACGAACGGAGCGATCGGACGCTACCTTCCGCAAAGCACCGCGAAAAGCACCGCGAAAAGCACCGCGGAGCACTCCTAGCGCTGTGAGCACTCCGCGGCACCGGTCCGCATCGGAGAGCGTTCCTTTCGACCGGAAGGAACGGAACGCCCACGGTCCAGGTGAATTGCCTCATGCCATGCCCAGTAGAAGCATACCAGCTTTCTTAGCACGGTTCGCAAAATGAGCACGTGACCTTATGAGCACGAGATGGTCGAGAAAATCCCGGGCCTTTTTGGTGGAGTGGATTATCCTAAAACCCAAGCTGGTGAGATTCCGATTCGAATCTCTGGGCCAGTGAAGAACAGTGGAACATGACATGAGCTATCGAGATATAATTAGAGGCAAATCTATCGAACGTCGTTCCAAAATTGCTTTCCTGAAGAATAGCACGTCTTCTTTTTCCTGTAGCACTATTTCTTGATACCCTATAGACGCTGTAGATTGAAAAGAGGTCAGCTGAGTGGTCCTACAGCCCATCAGAATCAGTTGGTGAGCAAGAGCCGCCTGTGGCCGGCTGTAGCCGCCCAAGTCGTCCAGCAATCTTTGATGGCCTGAAACTCTTTGGAAGACCTTCAACCATTGTTGTGACACATTTTGGAGCTAAGTCTTTTTGCCTGTCACCAGACATATCAAATAAATTGGGCATCCTCACAGGCAACACAGATGATACAGCGAGAGACCACTAGGTCAAGTCCCGAGTCTACAAGACTTTCCTTGAGATGACGACATGGATGTCGCAATTTGTTAGGGAGTGTAGATCGTGAGTTGCTTTGTTCAACTTGTGAGTAGCTTGTGGACCTTTCATGCTGCAAGAAAAGACGGTCCTGATCTACAGCAAGGGATTGCCACATGAAGTTGCAGTTGGAA